AGAGGCAGCCCACAATATGATCGAAGATTTTTTGCCAGATACACATCTGGCAGAGGACAGTGTGTAGAATATACAAAGGACTAAAAAACTAAGCATCAAGGCAACTAGCAATCCAGTTTAGAAAGGGGGTTGGTGGTGGTACTATGAAAATTAATAGAAAGTTCTCACAAGAAGAAATATAAATGGTTAGTAAAACCTTCAAAAAGTGTTCAACATCTTTAACTGTCAGATAAATGCAATTTAACACTATTTTAAGATTCCATCTCACCCCAGTCAGGAAAGCCATCATCAGGAATGTAAATGACAACAAATGCTGGTGTGTACATAGTGAAGAGGGAATTCTTGCACACTTTGGTGGAAGTATAAGCTGGTAAAACCACTTTGGAAAACATACTGGAGTTTGCTCAAAACACTAGACATAGAATTGTCATATGGGCCAGTGGATTACTAAAGCCACTCTACCATGCCTGGGCACATGCTTTACATCTTACTAGAGATTCTTGCTCATCCATTCCTGCCTTATTCACAATTGCTAAGAAATAGAATTAAGCTAGATGTCCATTAAATGATAATGGATAACAACAATGCTCTTTAAGTACACAGTGGAATTTTATAAAGCTTTAGAAGAAAATAGACAGAACTGGAAAAGAAAACTAAACTTTGCAGAGTAAGGTCACTCAGGTCCAAAAGAACAAATACCAAATATTTTCTCTTAAAATTATGTAGTGGCTTCAAAACTTCAACTTTTTGTGTTCAGGCTGGAGTGTATATAGAAAAGAGGAAACTAGGAACTTGTTGGAGGAGTAAAATATAGGTAAAACCACAGAGGGGGAATATTAGTGTCAGAAATCAGGTAATGGGGTGAAGGTATGGGGAAATAAGGGGCAAAAGAAAGGTTAAACAAAATTAAGTATTCATGAAGGAAATACACAAAAACCTACGATACCCCAATATACATCAAAATATAATAAAACATGACACATGTATGAAGGAATGGGGAGGAGGAATACTGAGACCTAAATGTTTGGGTTGGGCTGGGGCAGGCAGAAAGGAAGATTAGGGAAATGTGTTCATCAAAACTAAGGATATATGAAGAAACTTTCTAAAACTCTAGTAGTTTCTAAGTTACTTAAAATATAAGTGTTTTAGAAATTTATTTGAACAAAGGTAACCAACATGGGTAAATGAAACTGTTTCTATGAGTTAAGACCAGTTAAATGAAAGTCTCAGTGCCAGGAATGTATTATAATACAATGTATTATAGGTCAGGGAGTTTCCAGAGGTTCCAAAACCAAAGTAGGCTATTGCCATTGCTCTTCACTCCCCACCATAACTAGGTGGGATGGTAAGGCCCTATTTTTGAAGACACAGGAGTTCTCCCCCAACTGGCTAGTTTTCAGGGTGCCGAAAGGTGCAGTACAGAATGCTAGGGGAGAAAATCATCAATGGTTTCACCCAGCAGGGACTTCACACCAACATGCTAGGCAAGACTGGCAGTTTACAGCTCTCTTTGCTGGTTTGAAGCCTACTCCACAGAAGGGAACTCATGTCTCCTATTGTAATTATGGTCAAAAACCATAGCCCTGGGGAGTGAAGGGGGAAGGGATGAGGGGATTGATAGGGGGCATAGGAGGATGGGAGGGAGAGGGAACTGGGATCAACATGTAAAATACTAAATTATATTAAATGATAATAAACATAGCTCAGGAAGTCTTAGACCCTAGGAAAGGACTCATAGGTGGTGGTGTTGGGTTTTTGTTGTTGTTTTGTTTTGTTTGTTTGTTTTTGGTCACATTGTCAAACTGTCTTCTAAACATTTATGCTTATATCTATAGGTTTATGCAGTTCTCAACCTTAGTTAGAGAAACTTTTTTATTGCAGTGGGTAGTGGCTAATGGAATCTCATAGTGACATACATGACTATTGAGTACTCACCATAGATAACACACTTTTTTATTAAGGCTATCATCAGTGCCCAAAAGGATGAAATCAAAACATGTTTAAACAAAGTTGAAGGAAGATAGGAAGGTGATGGTGGATAATGTGATGTTAAGGGAACATTTTTTTTAAATGAGAATACAATAAGCTTATGGTACAAATTATGAAGAAAAGACAGAATAGAAAAAAAGCAATATCTCCAAAATGAAAGGATGCATAAGATAATAAAAAAGATATTAAAAATGGTAAAATTTTGCCATATACTTTTGACCCCAGGCAGAGAAAAATGTCCAAGAAAATTGTTTTTATGGCCTTGAGCTTCATGTTCTGGACAAAGCCTGGATATAAGCTTAAAGGACACCATTAGACGTTTCAGAGGAGAGGGTAAATAGACTCTGGCATGATTTAGACTATGACCTCCAAATTTTTGACATTAAGTGGTACCCAATTTGTGTGCATTCTGTGGGAAAACATGTGTAATAATTTTAGCTTTGATCCTTGCCTGGGCCAGCAAGAAGTGGCACAATCTTTTTCTTGTGATACTTACCAGCTGTAGTTCTGCCTGCACTACAATAGCAAGGCAAGTGGCCATGATGTAGTGGGCAGTGCATTACTAGACTAGAAGGATGAGCAGGTATGTAGCATTGCCATTAATTCTGGTGGATCTGATGGATACTACCAGATAGTATGCATATTTGCTTTTCAATAATACATATCTATAATTTACATGGTAGGAATATTAAGAGAGTGATAATTGTTAATAAGATAGAATATTTAATAATGGGGTACAATAAATAGTTAGGAGAATGTGGATTTCTTTAAGAAATCATGAAAAAGTAATGCTGTTGGTTTGTGGTTGACGGGAGCTGATACTATGCAAATTAAAACCACAAATAAGGGGCATTATTCTATTTAAAATATTTTTGCTTACAACATTGTCATTTTACAATTGTTTATTAGGAAGTGGGTACAACTTAAGTTAAAGAGCACTTCCACATTCAGAATAATTCAACACTCATCAGTGGAGATAAAAATCACTAGGTTTCAAAAAAAGCTGTTATCTACAATACCAAAAGAATAAAATGAAAGAAACTACTGAGCATGAGAGGAAGAAGGAGAAGTGAGTGGCGCTCATAAAGAGCACTGTTAATGTGAACACAGAAATTATTCATATGCTAAGGAGAGCATAAAGATTCATTGCTGTAAATAATATGATAACAATTGAGGAAATACATGAAATTTCATAGTAAATGGTGCATTTTAACTGAGGTCTAAAAGTTGTAAAACTGTTTATATGCAAGAGATGCACAACATAAAGTACTAGAAATAAAGAACCCACTGATAGGTTAATATTTAACTACAGGTAAGTGAACTCAAAGGCTGGTTGGTAGAAAAATCTTTAAATTGAATATACATGGGGAAAATGAAATAAGTATAGGAATGTAAATGTTATTTTGGATAGTTTGGATTCTCTGAAATGCATACCTGGAGTCCTATTGGTGAAGAGAGCAGACAATTATTTACAAAGTGATAGCTAAAGAATGGTATCTTCTTCGTGTGATGAAAGACACCAGCCCAAAGATACCAGAGACTTAGTAGCCTGGAGGAGGATGCAGAGGAAGAATGATGCACATGGTTGGATCTAGTCTGGTTGCTGAGGTCCAGAGGAAAAAGGAATCAAGCAACAAGAGTTGCAGAGAGGGAATGTACTGTTGATTAAGAGACAACATAGAATGTGAGCTTTCTTCTCATTTTTAGTCATGAAAGTCAGAAGATGAGCAAATGGCTTTATGAGAGTTTTGGAAAATAAAAATATCAACTGAAGTTTTATGTGCAGAGTGATTTCTATACATTTCAAAATGAAAAGAAATAAAATATATTTTCATTTTCAGAGAAATATAGTGTCACATTATATGAAAGACAAAAGAAATGTTAACCCAAGGACAATCATCCCAAATAGATGTAGAGGATTTGAAAATCATGTCCAATAAAATTGTGTCAGTATTCATAGGAAATTGTATGTAACCATTGGATCATGCACACATTAAACAAATACATGTGATCATTTTAACTCAGATTTACTTTGCACTATAAAATAAGTCTCAAAACACTATAAAATGGAATTAATAAAGCATCTAATCCCCACTATGTAATTGAGTTAGAATCAAATATCTAGACTAAAAGAAATACAGTTCTAAACAGCCATATGTCTTACATGCTTTCAATTTAAAGGGTCAAAATATGAGAATCCATGACTATTAAAATAACCACAGAGAAGGAACATATTATTCTAGAACATACATTTTTACAAGAGTCAAGTCAATAATTAAAATCCCTACCCACTAAAATAGAAATCATGATACTTCTAATCTAAGAATTAGCCACTTAGAAAGAATAATACCAATACTGCATAATGTGATATTTAATGGTACAGGGGAAAAAGCAGTTGAGAATTTCATATGGTATTTTTAAGAAGGCATGTTCCTGACAAGAAGTAAAAAATAAGTTTTTAGACATATTGAGTAATGTAGGCAATAAGATACAGATGTGATATAAGAATATAGCAAAAAAATCTTTGTGAATATTAATTAAAATAAAGATTGTGGATCTATATACACTACAAAACTATATACATTTATTTTTTTTTTTAGAGTATTTTTTATTTAATTTTATATAACAAAGTCCAATTAAATGAAAACAAACATTTATACACAATATTTGGGAATTTGGGCGTCGTTCTTTCCAAACTACTTCCTGCTGGTAAGGGGCGCTGTCTTGGGGGATTCGAAGAAGATTCAGATATCCTAGCTGTAGTCTGTAGGGCTGTTTTGTCCAGCTGTTTGGAATGTAGGATCAGCTTGTACTCTGTTTCAGGCGGTCTGGTGTGATCAAACCACATTAGTCTGGAAGGAATCCACATCTTTTCATTTTCTGTGGAAACAAAAATAGAAATACTTTTCCCCAGTAACTTGTTCTTCAACTTAAATTTTGGAGTCAAAGCGTTTTTTTTTTTTTTTTTTTTTTTTTTTTATTATTATTATTATTTTACATGTCGATCCCAGTTCCCTCTCCCTCCCCCCCCCCCCCCCCCCCCCCCCCCCCCCCCCCCCCCCCCCCCCCCCCCCCCCCCCCCTCTCCCCCCCCCCCCCCCCCCCCCCCACCCCCCCCCCCCCCCCCCCCCCCCCAAAACACAAAGGGTGGGGGAGGCCACCGGGGGGGGTTGTGGTCGTCCGGGCGGCCCGAAGGAGGGGGGGGCGGGGCCCTCCCTTTCTCTTGAATTAGGGGGGGTTCCCTCCCGGGGGGGGTTTTTTTGGAAACCCTTTTGGGCCCCGGGGGGCCATCCGGGCCCCACTGTCTGGGGTCTCTTAGACTGTTCAGACCTTCTGGCTGAGACCCATATTCAGGGGAGTCCGAGTCAGACCTCTGTTGGCTTCCCAGCTATCAGTCTAGTGGCCCTTAGCTCCTCCTTGTTCAGGTAAGCTGTCTCTATGTACTTCTACCGCATGGTCTTGTCCTCTCCATCTGCTTCTGGGTTCTAGTTTGACTCAGTGTTTATGTATGGGTGTTTGCTCCTGTTTTCAACAGGCATTAGTTGAGGACTCCATGGAGAAGTTAGTTGTTGATCTCACTCTCCGGGAAGGGCATTTATGATAGCCTTTCCACGGAAGCTGAGATTGTTAGTTGGGAGCAGTCTTGTAGTTCCCTCGACCTTTCTTTGTGTTCAACTTTATCTTCAAACCAATATTGGCTCCCTCTTTTATGTTCTCTCTCTCTGTCTCTGTCTCTCTCTCTCTTTCCTATTTTCCATTCCTAACCAGGCTCAATCCTCCTAGTCACACATGCCTTCCTCTCCTCCCTCTCATTTTCTCCTACTTCTCTCTCCATTAGCTGTCCTCACCCACTATACCTGAGGTCTGGGGGACTTGTCCCTTCCCAGTTCTGTGAGGGACTTTATATGAATCTCTTAGAATACAACTTGTATCCTAGTTCCTCTGGTGATGTGAATTATAGGCTGGTGATCATTTGATCTAGGTCTAAAATCCATATATGAGTGAGTACATACTGTGTTCCTCTTTTTGTGACTGGGTTACCTCATTCAGGATGGTTTCTTCAAGTGCCATCCACTTGCCTGCGAATTTCAAGATACCATTATTTTTTTCTGCAGAGTAGTATTCCATTGTGTAGATGTGCCACATCTTCATTAACCATTCTTCAATTGAAGGGCATCTAGGTTGCTTCCAGGTTCTTGCTATTACAAATAGTGCTGCTATGAACATAGTTGAACAGATGTCTTTGTTGCATTGATGTGAATCCTTTGGGTATATGCCTAAGAGGGGGATTGCCGGGTCCTGTGGTAAACTAATTCCCATTTTCCTGAGGAACCGCCATACTGATCTCCAAAGTGGCTGTATGAGTTTGCACTCCCACCAGCAGTGGAGGAGTGTTCCACTTTCTCCACATCCTCTCCAACATAAGTCATCACTGGTGTTTCTAATTTTAGCCATTCTGGCAGGGGTAAGATGGTATCTCAAAGTTGTTTTGATTTGCATTTCCCTGATAGCTAAGGATGTGGAGCATTTTCTTAAGTGTCTTTCAGCCTTTTTGATTTCCTCCATTGAGAATTCTTTCTTCAGTTCTGTACCCCATTTTTTAATAGGGTTATTTGGTGTTTTGTTGACTAGTTTCTTGAGTTCTTTGTATATTTTGGAGATCAGCCCTTTGTCGGATATAGGATTAGTGAAAATCTTTTCCCAGTCAGTGGGCTGCCGTTTGGTCTTGTCAACTGTGTCCTTTGCCTTACAGAAGCTTCTAAGTTTGAAGAGGTCCCATTTATTAATTGTTTCTTTCAGTGTCTGTGCCCCTGGAGTTATGTTCAAGAAGCGGTCTCCTATACCAATTTGTTCAAGGGTACCTCCTACTTTCTCTTCTAAGAGGTTCAATGTGGCTGGATTGATGTTGAGGTCTTTGATCCATTTGGACTTGAGTTTTGTGCATGGCGACAGACATGGGTCTATCTGCAGTCTTCTACACACCCTCATCCAATTGTGCCAGCACCATTTGTTGAAGATGCTGTCTTTGCCCCATTGTATCATTTTAGCTGTTTTGTCGAAAATCAGGTGTTCATAGGTGCATGGATTAATATCAGGATTTTCAATTCGATTCCATTGGTCTACCTGTCTATTTTTATGCCAATACCAGGCTGTTTTCAGAACTATAGCTCTGTAGTAGAGCTTAAAGTCAGGAATGGTGATGCCTCCTGATGTTCTTTTATTGTATAGGGTTGTTTTGGCTATCCTGGGTCTTTTGTTTTTCCATATAAAGTTAATTATTATCCTTTCAAGGTCGGTGAAGAATTGTGGTGGGATTTTAATGGGGATTGCATTGAATCTGTAGATTGCTTTTGGTAAGATTGCCATTTTTACTATGTTTATCCTACCTATCCAAGAGCATGGGAGGTCTTTCCATTTTCTGGTATCTTCTTTAATTTCTTTCTTTAGAGTCACAAAGTTCTTATTATATAGATCTTTTACTTGTTTGGTAAGCGTTACACCAAGATACTTTATGTTGCTTGTGGCTATTGTAAAGGGTGATGTTTCTCTGATTTCTTTCTCTGCCTCTTTGTCGTCTGAAAAAAATAGGGCTACTGATTTTTTTGAGTTTATCTTGTATCCTGCTAGTTTGCTGAAGGTGTTTATCAGCTGTAGGAGTTCCCTGGTAGAGTTTATTGGGTCGCTTATGTAAACTATCATATCATCTGCAAATAGAGACAGTTTGACTTCTTCCTTTCCAATTTGGATGCCCTTGATCTCCTTTTGTTGTCTTATAGCATTAGCTAGAACTTCTAGTACGATATTGAAGAGATATGGAGAGAGAGGACAGCCTTGTCTTGTTCCTGATTTTAGAGGAATTGGCTTAAGTTTCTCTCCATTCAGTTTGATGTTGGCAGTTGGTTTGCTGTATATTGCTCTTATTATGTTTAGGTATGTTCCTGTTATCCCTGACCTCTCTAATACCTTTATCATGAAAGGGTGTTGAATTTTATCGAAGGCTTTTTCTGCATCTAGGGAGATAATCATATGGTTTTTCTTTTTCAGTTTGTTTATATGGTGGATCACGTTGATAGATTTTCGTATGTTAAACCATCCCTGCAATCCAGGTATGAAGCCTACTTGATCATGGTGGATGATTTCTCTGATGTATTTTTGAATTCGGTTTGCCATTATTTTATTGAGTATTTTTGCATCGATGTTCATCAGGGATATTGGTCTGTAGTTTTCTTTCTTAGTTGTGTCTTTGTGAGGTTTGGGTACCAAAGTTATTGTGGCCTCATAAAAAGAGATTGGCAATAAACCTTCTGTTTCTATCTTGTGGAACAGTTTGAGGAGTAGTGGTATTAGTTCTTCCTTGAATGTCTGGTAGAATTCTGCACTGAATCCATCTGGCCCTGGACTTTTTTTCGTTGGAAGGCTTTCGATGACTGCTTCTATTTCATTTCGGGTTATAGGTCTATTTAAGTTGTTTGTCTGTTCTTGATTTAATTTTGGTAAGTGATAGTTATCCAGAAACTTGTCCATTTCCTTTGAATTTTCAATTTTTGTGGAATACAGATTTTCGAAGTATGACCTGAAAATTGTCTGGATTTCCTCTGTGTCTGTTGTTATGTTCCCCATTTCATTTCTGATTTTGTTAAATTGCATGTTCTGTCTCTGCTTTTTCGTTAATTTGGATAAAGGTTTATCAATCTTGTTGATTTTCTCAAAAAACCAACTCTTTGTTGCATTGATTTTTTGTATTGTTTTCCTGGTTTCTATTTTGTTGATTTCAGCCCTCAAGTTGATTATTTCCTGGTGTCTGCTCCTGCGGGGTGAATTCGCTTCTCTCTGTTCTAAGGTTTTCAGTTGCGCTGTTAATTCATTTATGTGACTATCCTCTGTTTTCTTCATATGGGCACTTAGTGCAATGAACTTCCCTCGTAGCACTGCTTTCAAGGTGTCCCATAAGTTCGGGTATGTTGTATCCTCATTCTCGTTGAATATTAGAAAGTCTTTAATTTCTTTCTTTATTTCTTCTTTGACCCAGGAGTGGTGCAATTGCACATTGTTCAGTTTCCATGAGTTTGCAGGTTTTCTGCTATTTGTATTGTTGTTGAATTCCAATTTTAAAGCATGGTGGTCCGATAAGATACAGGGGACTATTTCTATTCTCTTGTATCTGTTGAGGTTTGTTATGTCTCCTAGTATGTGGTCGATTTTAGAGAAGGGTCCATGTGGAGCAGAGAAGAAGGTATATTCTTTTGTCTTTGGATGGAATGTTCTATAGATGTCTGTTAGCCCCAGTTGAGACATAACTTCTGTTAATTCTTTTGTTTCTTTGTTGAGTTTCTGATTTGTGGTCCTGTCTAGTGTTGAGAGTGGTGTATTGAAGTCTCCCACTATAAGTGTGTGAGGTTTTATATGAGCTTTGAGTTTTAGTAGTGTTTCTTTTACGAATGTGGGTGGCTTTGTATTAGGGGCATAGATGTTCAGAATTGAGACTTTGTGTTGATGGATTTCTCCTGAGATGAATATGAAATGACCATCTTCATCTCTTTTGACTAGTTTTGGTTTGAAGTCTAGCTTGTTAGATATTAGGATAGCTACGCCTGCTTGCTTCTTATTTCCATTTGATTGGAAAATCTTTTCCCAACCCTTTACCCTGAGGTAATGTCTATCTTTGGAGCTAAGATGTGTTTCTTGTATGCAGCAGAAGGATGGATTCTGTCTTCGTATCCATTCTGTTAATCTGTGTCTTTTTATAGGTGAGTTAAGACCATTAATGTTGAGGGTGAGTAAGGACCATTGATTGTTGATGGTTGTTTGATTTAGGTTTGTTGTTGGCAGTGGTATTGTGAATATATTTGTTCTGCTTCACCCTAGGTTTCTGGTGTAGCTGGATTATCTGTTGCCTACATTTTTGTGGGAGTAGTTACCTTCCTTGGGTTGGAATTTTCCTTCCAATACTTTCTGTAGGGCTGGATTTGTAGATACATATTGGGAAAATCTGGTTTTGTCATTGAATATCTTGTTCTCTCCATCTATATTGACTGAGAGTTTTGCTGGATATAGTAGCCTAGGCTGGCATCCGTGTTCTCTTAATACTTTTAGAACATCTATCCAGGACCTTCTGGCCTTGAGGGTTTCCATGGAGAAGTCAGGTGTAATTTTGATAGGTCTGCCTTTATATGTTACCTGTCCTTTTTCCTTCGCTGCTCTTAATATTTTTTCTTTATTCTGTATGCTAGGTGTTTTGATTATTATATGTCGAGGGGTCTTTTTTCTTTGGTCCAGCCTATTTGGGGTTCGGTATGCTTCTTGTACTTTCATGGGCATGTCCTTCTTCAGATTTGGAAAGTTTTCCTCGATGATTTTGTTGAATATGTTTTCAGCACCTTTGAGCTGGGCTTCCTCACCTTCCTCTATGCCTATTATTCTTAGGTTTGGCCTTTTCATGGTGTCCCACATTTCCTGGATATTGTGTGTTAAGGATTTGTTGGATTTATGGTTTTCTTTGGTCGATGAATCTATTTCTTCTAGTTTATCTTCTGCGCCTGAGATTCTCTCTTCCATCTCTTGAATTCTATTGGTTATGCTTGTGTCCGTGGTTTCTGATTTTTTGCCCAGCTTTTCAATTTCCAGCTTTCCTTCCATTTGTGTTGCCTTTATTTTCTCAATTTCGGTTTTCAAATCTTGAACCGTTTCCTTCACCTGGTTAATTGTTTTTTCTTGGCTTTCTGTACTTTCCTTAAGGAATTTGTTCATTTCTTCCACTTTTTTGTTTGTTTTTTCCTCTATTTCTTTAAGGGATTTTCTCATATCTTCTTTGAGGGCCTCTATCATTTTTATGATGGTGATTTTTAAGTCATACCCTTCTGCTTCCTCTGCTTTGTTGTTGTGTTCCATTCTAGTTGGTGTAGATTCCCTAGATTCTGGTGGTGTCATGTTTGTCTTTCTGTTGTTAGGTGTTCTCTTGTATTGCCTTCTTCCCATAGTTTCTTCCTGTAGGTGTTGGTGGTGTCTCTTCCCTCTCTCTATGGTCCTTCCCAGATGGGCTTATGTGGATCAAAGATTCAATGTCTGTATCTCTGTGTGGTCCAAGCTCTCTAGGAGGCTTCTCTCTGGCCAATAGCCGGGAGAAGAGGACGAGGGCTGGACTGGAACTTGAGAAGGTTTTGCAGGGTAGTGGGATCTCACTGGAAACTGGCGCTCTCCAGCTGAGACCTCGTTCTTTGGCAGGGCCCGGATTTGGGGGTCAAGGATCTTGCCTGCAGGAACTCCAAGTGGACCCGCAGAGATAGGCGGATCTCTGGGAGGGGCCTGGGACTCCAGCAGAGGACTGGAGGCGGGGTCAGGGACCAAGCCGGTGGAAATTACAGGTGGTCCCACGTGGATAGTCAGGTCTCCTTTGTTCGGAGTTGCTCCGAGAGGTCTCCGAAGTAGGGTGGACTGTTGGCTCCACCCTCTGTCCCAGTGCTCAACCAGAGCGGCAGGACCGTAGGTGGGGTAGGGCACAGGGTGGGGGGGTAGGCTGGAGGTTGGGATGGGTGGGGGTGTATCAGAGCTCCAAGGGTGCTCTCAAAGGGGACCGGAGACAGGAGCAGCAGGATCAGGGGCCAATCCAGGGAGTTCAGGCGGGGGAGGGGGGTAAAGAGGTTGAAGCGCCCCCCCCCCCCACCCCCCACCCCCCCCCCCCCCCCCCCCCCCCCCAAACCCCCCCAGCACCCCCCCCCCCCCCCGACAAAAAAAAAAGAATAAAAACCACACCCACCCCACCCCCACCCCACCCCCCCCCCCCCCCACCCCCCCCCCCCCCCCCCCCCCCCCCCCGCACCCCCCCCCCCCCCCCCCCCACCCCCACCAACCGCCCCCGCCCCCCCCCCAAAAAAAAAAAATTTTACCAGGGTGGTGGCCCCCCCCAAAAACCCCCCCCCCCCCCCCGCCCCCCCCCCCCCCCCCCACAACAAAAACCATTAAAACAAAACCCTTTACCCAAAGGGCCATAAACCAAGGGAATTGTTATTCTAACAAAAATATAATAATAATGTTTGTATTCAGTAAATAAATTGCTTACAATATATAAACCCAAACAATATGATTAAAATGAGATATACAAATCTATGGTCAATGCAGGTAACTTCAAATTCACTTTTTTAGCAAATCATGGAACTAAATAAGATACTTCTAAATATATAGACAGATATTTAAAATGGTGTTTTCAAGCATCAAGTTGATAGCCTATTAAGTTGATTTTAAAAGGTAGCTAATTGGAGAAGTAGACAAGGATTGATCCCGGGGGAACACTGACCAACCAAGCCTAACTAATGAAATCAAGTCCCCATGAGAGTCACTGTCTCAGCAGAGCCAGGCGGACAACTCTTGACCTTGACACTATGGTTGAGCTCTGACCTCCACAAATACACACATAGTTTCATGACGTCCCACACATAAGTATACCCGTGCACCTACATATACAGGCACACAAAAGATTGCTAATCAATGACAAAAATTGTATCTTGACTTAGGGATAATTAAGTTAAAATCAGAAACAGATTATTACAAAGATTTTAAAATGTTTAGAAAACATTTTAATAGGCTCTGCCCCAAATGATATGACAGACACTGAAGATCCCCCATGGAAAGCTTCACCCTCCCTGGGGAATTGAAATGGGATGGGATGAGGTTAGGAGGGCAGGGGAGGAGGGGAGGGTGAAGGAACTGGGATTGATATGTAAAACAAACTTGTTTCAAATTTAAATTAAAAATATTTTATTAATAAAAAATAACACTCTTAAATTATGGCCAAAGTGAACTATAATCACATAACCAAAACTGAAAATATTTCAGAAGACCATAATGAACATACTATATAAAAAGCTTATTTACTACAGCTACAGATATTCCCAATGGACCTTAAAACCTTACATGAATACATGTACTAGAAAACACAAAACCTCAAAATGAATTATTTAATTATCTACCAACAGAGGGCAAAGAGGGAAGATTAGTAAAACCACAAAACAAAAGAATAACAAAGCATAGAAAACAAAAGCAAATATAGAGAAATGGCATATAATAAAATCAGGGTCTATACAGCAAAGGCACTAATCAACACACCAAACAGACTACCCACAGAGAAGAAATGATTTACAAATTAGTCATGACACAAGGGAATAATACACAGATTAGCAAAGGAATTTAAAGTGTCAACAATAACAAAAACAATCTTAACTTAAAAATGGGAAAATGACTGGATAGTAATTTATAATAAGAATTACAAATAACCCACAAGCACATGAAAAGTTCATCAGCATCACTAGCCACCAGGGAAATGAAATCCAAACCACAACGAGAGGGCATCTCACCCTAGTTAACATCAAACCCACAAAAATAACACATGCTGGTTAGGCTAAGGAGAAAAGAAAACCTTCCATACTGCTGGTTAGAATGGAAATGAGTGCAGCCATTATGGAGAGCAGCATGGAGGTTCCTCCAAGGAGCTAAAAATACATCTGCCATATGATCCAGCTGTCCCATTTCTGGCTGCATACAAAAAATGTTTTGAGAAAATGCAGATTATTCTAGATTATCTTGGTGGTCCTAAATGCAATTACAAGTGTCTTGTAAGAGAGAAACAGGAATATTTGACTACAGAGACAGAAGGCAACATGACAACTGATGCAAGGTGCTATAGTTTTGGCTGTAAAGATAGAGGAAGAGGCTACCAGCCAAGAAAGCACAACTCAAGAAACTGCAAAAGGCAAGGAAATGGATTGCCCCTCACAATTCTCAGAGTGTGATGCCACAGACATGGAGATCTCAGCCCAGGGAAAGCATTTTGGATTTTTCCCCTAGAACTGTTAGAAGACAAATGTGTGCTGGTTTAAGGCACTACATTGTGGCAAGTTGATGAACAGAAATGGAAAATGAATATAGAATCCAAAGTTTGTCTCTTGGAGAAATAGTTGCAGTGTGAGATTTAAAAGGATATTAGAAACAATAAAAAGAATATGATATATTTATGGACAGATGGGAGATGTCATTCTGTAGATATGTTTCTCTTATTGGTTAATGAATAAACCACTGTTGGCCAATAGGAAAGCAAGATAGGTGGGACTAGGAGACAAGGAAGATTCCAGGAGTAGGGAGGAGATCCAAGATGGAAGACGTACAGGGTAGAATGCCAGCCCTTCTCTCAGGTAAGATGAGACCACGTGGAAATACTTAGATTAATAGCAATGGGTTAATATTTAAGACAGAGCTAGCCGATAAGAAACTAGTAACTGGCCAACAGCATTCATATCTAATACAGCATCTCTGTGTGTTATTGGGGGCTGGCTCAGCAGTTGGACCAGAGCAGCAGGGGTAAAAACTACTCATAACAATAGACTTAAAAAAAAATAAGAGATGATCACCTATGATTTCAAGTAAACGAGTTTAGGTGAAATGAAAAATTACTTTAAAAGAAATCTTAAAAGTGGACATAATGATAAACTTGAACTTTCACATGTTTAGTTCTACTAAGTAAATTGAACCTGCTTTCAAAACACTGTACCAAGGCTAACTCCCTCATATAACTTTACTCTCAAGGCTAAGGAACAAACAACTCAGAAATAACACATCTCCCAACAACACTTCAGATAAGGAATATGGTGTAACTAGCTTACTCTTAATTCCCAAACACCATGAAGCCATTACAGAAAAGAAATATAAAGCCTAACCATCGTGCACATTAAAGCAGTAATTCAAATAAAATGAGTAATGCATTAAAAGATTATATGGAACATAGGTTGTTTTGTTTCTCAGGAATGCATGGGGGGTATAAAAATCACCCAAAGTCCCAAGTCTCAAGAGTTTGCTGGTAAATTTTATCAAACATCTAAGAAAGAGCTCTCACTCAGCCTCTACAATCTTTTTCATAAGGTAGGAACAGAGGAAGCCCTTTATGTGTTCTTCTGTGGACTAGAAACACACTCATATTGAATCCAGGCAGATGGTCCAAGAACACCACAGACCAAACTCTAATGAACATAGTTATAAAGATCCTAAGCAAAATCAAATACATCAGTGTACAAGAAGTAGACAGCACAGACAATTATGATTTGCTCAAAGTATGCAAGACTTGTTTAACATTAGAAAAATCAATTGATGAATCTATCACAACAATTTAAACAAGAAAAATGGCATGCTTTTATCAATATGTTCAGAAAATGTACTTGACAGAATAGAAGATTCATTTATTATGACAACTCACTAAATTATCAGTAGAGGGAAACTTCTTAATTTGATAATATCTATTTTTTCTAAAGGTCTACTGCTAATGTACAATTTATATGATGAAACAGCAAAATCTTTTTTAAATTTTATTTTATTAGGATAAAAATAATTGGGTTTTTCTATGGCATTTTTAAAATGTTTTCCATGGTTTCTCTTTCATTCTGGTCTTCCCCATTTACCTTCTTGATGGGAGATGTCATTCTGTAAATATGTTTCTCTTATTGGTTAATGGATAAAGCACTGTTGGCCAATAGGAAGGCAAGATAGGTGGGACTAGGAGACTAGGAGGAGAGAGGAAGGAGTAGGGGGAGATTCAAGATGGAAGACAGAGCAGAACAGCAGCCCCTCTCTCCAGTAAGATGAAGCCATGTGGAAATAATTAGATTAATACAAATGGGTTAATATTTAAGACAGAGCTAGCCAATAAGATATGCTAGTAACAGGCTAACATCTCCTCCTTAGCTTTTCTGCCTTATCAACCCGATTAGCCTCCATTTTATCTTCATATTACAAATGTCCTTTTTGCTCTCCTCCTCAATCACTTTCTCAAAACTTTATACCTGTCATTGTCTTTCACCTAGTTTCATAGCTTATATCTACTCTTGTACTTTCTTATTCACAAACACATAAGCTAGGGTATGCACATGAGACAGAACATGTCATTTTTTTCATTTCTGTAAAATGACAGAATTCTGACAAGAGAAGTTAAATAATTAAATAAGTATTCCATGACTCAATAATGCTATGCTTGATGAAGAACAATATTGTTATTCCCAGCCTGATGTACACACTCAATTCAATCCTCAAAAAGTCATTTTATAATTACTGATAGACTTATTCTAAAGTGCATATGGAAAGGCAAAAGAGACAGAAAACCTGTTGAAATCAAGAGACATGTACCAGACTAACACTATCTGACCTCCAGATACCCGTGGAAATATGTTACTGATGAAAGGCCACACATACAAAACTGAGCAAACAGAGTGCTCAGAATGAGCTCAGAATGAGTCAACTGAGCATGACAAAGAAAAAAAGCCAGTAACAGAGAACATGACCATGTACAAGGAATTTAGACAGCCCTTAGACACACCATAAAAGTTATAGCACGCACACACACACACACACACACACACACACACACACACACACACACACACACACACACACACAAAGCCCCACACACAAAATGCAAAACTAAAATACTCTCTGAAGAACTTTGTTGCTACTGGATATACTATGAACTATGATCGGGTAGAACTGTACTGCAATTGGAAGGCATTAACTATGAAATTAACTATGAAAGAGTTGATAAACAACTTTCTAGAACTAAAATGTTACTAGGTGTTGGTGGCGCATGCCTTCAGTCCCAGCACTCAGGAGGCAGAGGCAGGTGGATCTCTGTGAGTTTGAGGCCAGCCTGGTCTACAGAGCAGGTTCCATGACAGGCTCCAAAGCTACACAGAGAAACACTGTCTTGAAAAACAAACACAAACAAATAAAAAAAAAACAAGAATTAAAATGTCAGGTTTATTAAAGACACCAATGAAAGAAAGAAAAACAAGCTATGACCCTAGGAG